CCGCTGCAAGTGCCGCCGCTGCTGCGGTAGCCCGAGCAGCGCCTCGTCGTGCGCGTCTAGCCTCTTCTGGGCGAAAGTCGCCGCGAGCCCCTCCAGCCGCGCTGCCAGCAAGGGCGCCCGGGTCAAAGCCTCGAGGGAGGTGGCGCTGGTGACCCGTGCCACGATGGGCAGGGCGGCGACCGTGCTGGCCAGCCGGGCAGCCGGCGCCGTCCGCTTCGCGTCTGGGAGCCCCAAGCCGCCTTCGCGCAATGGCAAGCGTGACCAGCAAAGGCAGGTGGAGTCCAGCGGACTAGCACGGACCAGGGCGGCGGCAGCTGTGGCCACAGCGCCGACCAAGCTCGCCAGCGTGGCTGAGTCGGCCGGCAGCGCGCGCAGGTTGAAGGTGACGTCGGCTAGCGTGAGCACGCGCAGCAGGCACAGTCCCTGGTGCCTGCGTGCCGAGCCCGGCCTCCCTCCCTCCCTCCCGCACAATGGAAGAGAAGGACGATAACGGTGATATGCAAATCTGGGGGCTCCAAGCTGCCGCAAAACTACCGACCGATCGCCATCATCCCACTGCTGTACAAACTCGTGTCCCGCCTCCTCTGCAGTCGACTGGAAACCACATATAACGCACGACAAAGCCCTGACCAAGCCGGCTTCCGGCGAGGCTTCAGCACGGACGACCACCTCTTCACGAAGGGAAATGTTGCACGAGCAATCACTATGTTGGCAGTTACCACTTTGGGCGGCAGCAATCGACTTCAAAAATGCGTTCGACTGCGTGGACCACACGCACCTATGAGACGCTCTAGCATCTTCCCGAAACGTACATCACCCTCCTTCAGCACATGTACAGCGATCAGACGGCCATTGTCTACACGGACACCTCCAGTCGCAGTTTTAGCATACAGCGGGGTGTGAAGCAGGGAGATCTGGTCAGTTCCTTCCTGTTCAGTGCGCTGCTGGAGCATATCTTCCGACAACCCAAGCCCGGCTGGCAACGCAAAAAGTTTGGCATCAAGCTCGGCTTCGCTCAAGAAACAAGCATCACGAACCTACGCTTCGCACACGATGTTCTGCTGTACGCCCCAAACCTTCGCCACCTTACATGTTTGTTGCGCGACTTGAAGAGCAAAGCATACTGCTATGGACTCTCTCTGCACCCCGACAAGATCAATATTCTCACCAACGTCAGCTGGAAAACTGGCAGAACAATCACGCACATCGTCTTAGATGGCGCGCGCATAGACATTCTACCCAACGACCAGAGTACGAAATACTTGGGCAGAAAATTATCGTTCCACGACTTCCACTGACATGAACTGACGCCGCGGCATGGCCGAAGTTTCACCAACTACGGTGCGAACTTACCAACAGAAAACTCCCATTGCACAGCAGACTCCGAATCTTCAGCGGCGCGATCAAACCATGCGTTATGTACGGTTACTCTTCGTGGACACTCACCAAAGATATGCTCATCACGCTACAATGAACACAGCGGAAGATGTTCCGACTGATCATGAATACGCAGAGAAGACGGAACACGCTGGAAGCAAGCAGACAGACGGCACGCGCCGGCTTCAACACCAACAACGGTACCCGTGTTCGACGTCAACGACACCGAATCCAGCACCGACACCAGGACCGACAACAGCACCGGACGACGACGACGACGACGACGACGACGACGACAACAGCACCAGCACCAGCACCGACCACAGCACCAGCAGCAACACCGAATACAGCACCAGCACCAGCAACAGCACCAATCGAGAACAGCGCCAACACCTACAATAGCACCTGCACCGACAACAGCACCAGCACTGACAGCAGCACCAGCACCAACACCGACACCGACACCAGCACCGACAACAGCAACCGACGGAGACACCGAAGATAGATCTGAGTCTTGGGTTCAATTCATACGGAGAAGTACCTCCACCGCTTTGGCACACGCCCAACGAGCACGAGTCGACGATTGGACCGACGTATACTTCAAGCGAAAATGGGCGTTCGCAGCACGCGTGGCCAACCACGATCACGACGGGTGGACACGACTGAATGCAAGCTGGGACCCATGTACACACGACCTACGTCCAGCCTTTCGCCGACATGGCGGGCAAAAGAAACTTTGGCATGATGACATTGTATCATATCTACATGACGTGGCCGACACCGACAACGATTCCAAATGGTGGGTGTTGGCCCATAACCTACCATGGTGGAAGACTCGTGAAGAAGGCTTCTTGGACTATCTGCGTCGGCGCTCCGGCGCCCCCGCCGGGCTCTCATAGGGCCGTCCCTCCAGAACGTTTTCCGGCGCTCTCTCTCTCTCTGTCCTCCTCCTCCTCCTCCTCCTCCTCCTCCTCCTCCTCCTCCTCCTCCTCCTCCTCCTCCTCCTCCTCCTCCTCCTCCTCCTCCTCCTCCTCCTCCTCCTCCTCCTCCTCCTCCTCCCCTCCTCCTCCTCCTCCTCCTCCTCCTCCTCCTCCTCCTCCTCCTCCTCCTCTCCTCCTCCTCCTCCTCCTCCTCCTCCTCCTCCTCCTCCTCCTCCTCCTCCTCCTCCTCCTCCTCCTCCTCCTCCTCCTCCTCCTCCTCCACTCCTCCTCCTCCTCCTCCTCCTCCTCCTCCTCCTCCTCCTCCTCCTCCTCCTCCTCCTCCTCCTCTCCTCCTCCTCCTCCTCCTCCTCCTCCTCCTCCTCCTCCTCCTCCTCCTCCTCCTCCTCCTCCTCCTCCTCCTCCTCCTCCCCTCCTCCTCCTCCTCCTCCTCCTCCTCCTCCTCCTCCCCTCCTCCTCCTCCTCCTCCTCCTCCTCCTCCTCCTCCTCCTCCTCCTCCTCCTCCTCCTCCTCCTCCTCCTCCTCCTCCTCCTCCCTCATCGCTTGACTCCGTCGTTCGACGATGTCCATGCTGGGCAACGGCGCAGAGTACGATCCTGGCAGAATATGATTAAAATGAGAGGCGCGGCAGACTACTGCTGCCCGCGGACGCGCGAGAGCGCCCACGTAGCAGGCAATCGGTGGTCGTGCGACCGAATCCGATGGACTCGCGGCAGCGAACCACAACATGACTTCTGTCACGGCGGATACATCACAACAGAGGCGGCCTCCCCCCCAACCCTCATCCTCAAGCCCGCCTCCCCGTCGAGGGGAGGATCAGTTTGTCCACAACCGTGCCCCCTAAGCGATCCAGCCCTCTAGATGCGGACCCGCGCGTGAACCACCACGCCCTTTCATGAGGCCACGAGCCCTGGCAACAAAAGACCTGCTGTCTCGGAGGAAGAGATGATCTGGGCGATGGACCCAAGTACATCCAAGTGCAAGTACAGTAAGGCAGATGGGATGAAGAAGGGGAGAGCTCCCTATGGGGCCACGAAGCTTGTAATGTGGCCATGAATATGTGAGTGTGCCGAAGCGGGCGTGACGTCCACATGTGGACAAGGCCTCTGGGATTCTCTAGGTGGATCTCCCAGCGGGGCCGCGAAACGTGCGAGGAGTGAGCCAGAACTGGCGTCACGTCCACATGTGGGCGGGACCCTTGGAGCGTTAAGTTGAGCTCATGATGAAGCCACAAACGTATGAGGAGTGTGCCGAAACAGGCGTGACGCCCACATATGAACGGTGCATCTGAGGTCTTCTGTGGAGCTCCCTATTGGGCCTCAAAACGCAACGTGTGAGGGGTGAGCCGAAACGGGAGTGACGGCCACAGGTGGACGGTTCTTCTGGGGCTTTAGGTGGAGCTCCTCACGGGGCCACGAAATATCTGAAGGGTTTGCCGAAATTTGCATGCGGGATGAGGGAGGAGGGAGGAGGGAAAAAGTAGGCACAAAGCGATGCGTATTCAAAACGAAGACCCAACACAACAGGATGCTTGGGAAATCATCTTGGCGAAAGACCCAACCGCGTGGTGGGTACTGCTTTCGGTGAAGCTCCCTAATGGGCCACCAAGCATATGAAGGGTGTGCCGAAACGGGCACAGGGACGCATGCGGCCCCTGCCGCTAGGGCCTTCGGTGGAGCTCCATGTGAGGCCATGGAACGTATGAGGGGTGTGGCGGCACGGGCGTGACGGTGCCTCTGGGGCCTTCGGTGGAGCTCCCTATGGAGCCGCGAAGCGTGTGAGGGGTGCTCCGGAAGGGGTCCGACGCCCACAGGTAACCTGTGCCACTGGGGCCTTCGGTGGAGCTCCCTATGGGGCTACGAGACGTGCGAGGTGTGGGCCGAAATGGGCATGCGCAGGGCAGAGGGAGAGATGGGAGGAGGGCGAGGAAGAGGAAGGAGGACACGGGGCGCTCTGTCTTCAAAACAACGACCCAACACCACAGGATGGTTGGAAAAAACAGATGAACATAAACTTTCGGAGGTCCGCGCAGATGTTTGGGATCGACCCTGGCGGGCCCAGCGCCGATCCAAGAAATCCGCGCGGACCTCCGAAAGCATATGTGTTATGTGCCTTCTTGTTTTTCTTCGATCCTTGCAGGCCCCCAGAGGCTCCTAAACTCGTCTCTCGCACTGGAGGCCTCCTCAATGAGGTCCCAGCAGGTCGGGTCGGACGATCAGGCGGTATCGCTGATGCATCGGTGATGCATCGGCGACGGCGACGTTGGCGATGCATCGGCAACGTCAACGTGGAAAAGCGTTGGTCCTCCCCTCCGACCCCTACACGGACCCCATCTGGGAGGCCAAAAGTGCCGTAGGCTCCTCTTCTCAATCTCCCTATCATCTCCATCATCATCATAATCATCATCATCCTCCTTCTCACCATCATCAGCATCATCATCTTTATCATCCTCACCGTCATCACCACCACCACCATCATCATCATCATCATCATCATCAGCAGCATCATCAGCATCATCATCATAATCATCATCAAAATCATCAGCAGCATCATTGGCATCATCATCAGCAGCAGCATCAGTACCAGAAACAACATACTCATCGTCATCATAATCATAATCATCATCAGCATCATCATGGTCAGCATCATCATCATCATCATCATCATCATCATCATCATCCTCATCATCATCCTCACCATCATAATCATCAGCATCATCAGCCGCAGCATCACCAGCACCATCACGATCATCATTATCATCATCACCATCATCATCATCAAAAGCAGCAGCATCACCATCGTCAGCATCATCATCAGGATCATAATCATCATCATCGTCATCATCACATTCACCATCACCATCATCAGCATCATCAACACAATCATCATCGTCAGTACCAGCATCAGCATCAGCATCACCATAATCATCTTCATCCTCATCGTCAGCATCAGCATCATCAGCACAGCATCATCATGATCGTCATCAGCATCATCCTAATCACCATCACTATCCTCATCACCATCATCATACAGCATCATTGTCATCAGCATCACCAACATCATCTGCTCATCATCACCATCAGCATCAGCATCCTCATCATCATAATCGTCATCATCAATAGCATCAGCAGCATCATCTTCATCATGAGCGTCTTCATCATCACAAGTCATCACCACCATCACCATCACTGTCACCATCCTCATCACCAACAACAGCATCTGCATCATCAGCATCATCATCATGATCGAAGGAGACAGGAACGGCGGCATTCCAAAAGGCCAGGGAGGTCGTCTCAGAAACCCACGCGCCTCCAGAGAAGCCGCCCATCGAGGCCTTTGGGAGGGTTTCTCTTCTCGGAAGGCTGCCCCAAGGTGATGATTGACACCAGCTGCAATTTTGCCGAATCACCCCCGAGCCCGAAAACAGCCCAGAGAAAACCGACCAGGCCATCAGCACCGCTGTTTTGGAGCTTTTCGTCGAGCCCCAGCTCCCAGAGTCGCCCCTCCAGGGGGCGAAGAGAGCAACAAGCCGCCGCACCCCCGATTTGTTCCACGCCGACGGCGCCGATGCATCGCCGCCGCCGCCAGTGCAGCAGCCATGCGGCGCGATCCACCGACCCGATCTATTGGGAGAGCCAAAAATACCGATACCGCTACTCCCCGGACCTCTCCTGGGGTGCGTTCTGAACATAGTTTCGAGGCGAATCCAGCAGTGGCGACGAGATCCTCCGAGGAGGCCCAAACAAGGGAAAACGGCCGAATTGTAGAGGTATGGGTACCGTACCTTTTCCTCCTCTGATCTACTCCGACCCGACCCCACCTGGGAAGCCTGTATGGCAAAGGCTCACAACCACACCAGCCGCTCGCCTCGGGCGCAGCGGCAGGCGGAGGCGAAAAAAACAAAAAGGAATCGGGGATCTCCTGATTCGGGTCAATCCAAACCCGGGTCAGTCAGGCCTGCAGGATCCTGCAAACTCCTGCAAAATCCTGCACCCCAACCCGGGCCAATGCGACTGATCCTGCAGGATCCTGCAGGATCCTGCACCCAAGCCCGGGCCAATGCGACCCTGGCCCTGCAGGATCCTGCAAGATCGGGCGCTCTGGCTGACCCCCGTTTGCATTGACCCCCGTCCGCGAGCTCAGGGGGAGGAGGAGGAGGAGGAGGAGGAGGAGGAGGAGGAGGAGGGGGAGGAAGGGGGAAGAGGAGGAGGAGGAGGAGGAGGAGGAGGAGGAAGGAAGGGGAGGAGGGAGGAGGAGGAGGAGGAGGAGGAGGAGGAGGAGGAGGAGGAGGAGGAGGAGATCGAAGCTCCCGAAAGGAGCACAGATGATGGCCAGCATCCGGGCGCGGCGCGCGGGCGCTCGGCCCGCCACCTCCGCCGGGAGCTCGCAAAAGGGCGCGCGTCGGCCCTCGCAGCGATTGGCTGCGGAGGGCCTGCGGGCCACACGCCCCTCTTGGAGGCCTGGAGGTGGGCACCGACAACACCGCAGGGGGGGTGCCTCCACTCGGCAGGTACCCCAAAAATACCCCAAAAAGATCAAAAACAGATTCAAAACATACCCCCCAGACAATTTTTGGATGGTGTTCTGATCATTTTTGGGGTATCTTTCATTTTTCGTCGAAAATCCCTCTGTAGGGGGACAGGCCCGAGTTTCGGCGGTGGACAAACCCCCCTCCAGTAAACCTCCCTGTAGCGAAAACGGCGTAGGGCCGAAACCGACGGACCTGGACCCGCAAGCATGACGGCCGCGACGCCCTCCCGCGAACCAAAAACAACCAAGTCCTCAATCGACGTGTCAGGGTAGGAGGTCTGTCCACCTCCGATCCACAGGGGGATGACGATCCCATATTTCGGCGTTGGTGGTAATATTTCGGTCACTCTGAAAGCCAGGAAATTGCCACCATCACCGAGATCGGGATCCCCTTCCCGCGGTGGAGGCACACCGCCGATTCTGATGTTGGTGTCAACCTCTAGGCCTGCGGTTCATAACGATTGAGGAAAAAGATTCTGCAAGTCACACGGCCCGGCAAGCTGGCAGGCGACGAGCGTCAAGGAATGGCCTAGAAGCGGTGATGCTGCTGTGATCTGGGCTGCTGGCGTGGACCCGTAACTTCGTCGTCGCGGCGCTCTTCTGACGCGTCCCACCCGCCCCAGGCCTCGGACAGGAATTCTCCCCTCCCTCCATCCCCCCATCCTCCCCCCCCATCCTCCCCTCCATCCCTCCATCCTCCCCTCCCTCCCCCCCATCATCCCTCCCCTCCCCCTCCATTTCCTTCCCCTCCCTCGCCCCCATCCTCCCCTCCATCCCCTCCTTTCCATCTGGACGGAAAGCGTTCCCCTCCTGAGGAAGTTCCCTCCTGACGGAAGGAACTCCGGCGCCATGCCTGCACGTACTGGGCGCATCAGGGTGCCATGTGCTGTCTTCTAGGGTCTCGGAATTAAGAAACAAAACAAAAACAAAAAACGCCCCCCCTCCACTAGTGGAGTGGGCCGTTCACCCTCCCTCCCCTCCCGAGGGCACGATCCCTCGCAGGAAATGTATGGGGTTCACGCTCCCGCCTTTTGAAAACGATTGGTCCGCGCCCCGAAGGCAACAAGATGACCCAAGATGCCTCGAAAGCGGGCCAACATGACCCGAAGGCGGCTGAGTATGGCTTTAAGACGGCCCAGGATGCCTCCAAGATGCCTCCAAAAGGGCCAAAAGAGGAGACGGCCCAAGAAGCCTCCACGATGGCCCCAAGACGGCCCAAGAGGCAGGCCACCACGAAGGTCTCAAGATGGCCCAAGAGGACCCCACGAGTGCCCAAGATGTATCCAGGACCCACCATACGGCCAAGACGACCTCAAGATGGCCCAGGAGAGCCCCAAAACGGCCAAAAAACCGCCCAAATGAGCTCTGCGAGAGCTCCTCAAATAGTGAAGCACCAATCAAACCACCATCATTATCATCATCATCATCATCATCATCATCATCATCATCATCATCATCATCATCATCATCATCAGCATCATCATCATCATCATCATCACCATCATCATCATCATCATCATCATCATCATCATCATCATCATAATCATCATCATCATCATCATCAGCAGCATCAGCATCAGCATCAGCATCAGCATCAGCATCATCATCAGCATCAGCATCAGCATCAGCATCAGCATCATCATCATCATAATCATCATCATCATGATCGTCGCAATCGTTGTCCTCCTCCTCCGCTTCCTCGTCGTCGCCGCCGCCGCGGCCATCCCATGATCATCATCGTCAACATCATCAGCATAACCACCACCACCATCGCCACCATCAACAGGTCCTCATCCTCATCATCATCATCATCATCATCATCATCATCATCATCAGTCTCATCATCATCATCCTCATCAGCATCAGCATCAGCATCATCATCATCACGACCATCACCATCAGCAACGTCATACATATCACCATTACCAACGTCTTCATTACCACAGTCAACATCACAATCACCATCACAATAATCATCACCAGCATCAGTAGTCATCATCAGCATCGGCATCAGCACCAGTACCAGCATCATCAGCAGTTTCGCCAATACCATAAGCAAAACGAGCATGATCAACATCAACAACTCCGCCCTTCCCGCCATTAATATTAACATGTTTATTACAACCACCAACACCGTCATTATTACCACCACATTAATATCACCATCACCATCACCTTCGTCATCGTAACCGCCAACACCGTCATTATTACCACCCCTACCGCCAGCATCACCATCGCTCCATCATTAGCAGCAGCATCATCAGCACAATCGTCGCATGCATCATCATCAGCATCACAACCACCACCATCAGCATCAGCATCACCGTCATCACAAGCAGCATCACCTTTATTCCCTACCTAGGCTCTGCCTAGAAGGGTTCGTACTCTCTTTGCTTAAAGGGGCCGGACAGTGGTCCCCGCCCCGGGCGGTTCCCCCGGTCCCCGCCCCGCGGTTCCCCCAGTCCCCTAGGAGCTTTAGATTTAGCTTTAGCTGGAGCTTAGCTTTAGCTCAGCTTTAGCTCAGCTTTAGCTCAGCTTTAGCTTAGCTGTAGCTTAGCTGTAGCTTAGTTTAGCTTAGCTTTAGCTTAGCGTTAGCTTAGCTTTAGCTTAGCTTTAGCTTAGCTTTAGCTTAGCTTTAGCTTAGCTTTGGCTTAGCTTTAGCTTAGCTTTAGCTTAGCGTTAGTTTCGCTCTAGCTTAGCTTTACCTTAGTTTTAGCTCAGCTTTAGCTTAGCTTTAGCTTAGCTTTAGCTTAGCTTTAGCTTAGCTTTAGCTTAGCTTTAGCTTAGGTTTAGTTTAGCTTTACTGTTACTACTAATGCTGCTTTCCTAGGGGCTCCAACTCCTAGGTAGGGTCGCACTGGGAAAATCATTATTATCATTATTACCCTCACCACCACCATCATCACCATCATCATCGCCACCACCATCAGTATCATCACCATGACAAGCATCATCATACAAAGCGCCTTCATCATCATCATCATCATCATCATCATCATCATCATCATCAGCATCATCATCCTCACCATCATCACCAAGATCATCACCATAATCATCAGCATCGTCACCACCACCACCATCATCACCAACACCATCGTCATCATCACCATCACGGTCATCCCAGTCGTCCGAAGGATTGCGATCCCCCGTCGCTGGCCTGACAGTTTTCCCAAGGGGGGTCAGGAACCAGGGTTCCCCTCCCCGCCCCTCCTGAGGAAACAGAAACGAAGGGGCCCCTCCCCCCAAAAAAACACCCCACCCACCCCCCGCCCCCGGAGAACCCGGGGGATCCCAAACCCCCCGTCGCCCCCCCGCCTCTCAGGGAAAAATGAAAAGGGGGGGTCCAGAAAAGCCGCCCACACACCCCGAGGAAGACTAGCGCGGGGGGTCCAGAGACCCGCCCCCCTCCCCCCCCCACCCCCCAGGAAAACGGATGGGGGGTTCGGATCCGACTCCCACTGAACAACCAATGGGGGGATCTGTAATCCCCCCCGGCGGCGAAGACGACGACGACGACTACGACGACCACGACGACTACGACGACCACGACGACGACGACGACGGCGATCACGACGACGACGACGACAACGACGACGACGACGACGACGACGACGACGACGACGGCTACGGTGACGACGGCGAGCGGCGACGGTGAAGACGGCGAGCGGCGACGGAGACGGCGACGGCGACGGCGACGGAGTCAGCGGCGGCGGCGGCGGTGCGCCTGTCTCCAGCGCTCGCGCCAGGCGCCGGCGCCAGCTCTGATGGAATGCCACCGGGGCTCGATCCAACTCTCGCAATATCCTACAAAGGCCATGCTGTGTACTCTACGCTTTTCGGGCCTCCTCTGCTCGACGTTCCTCTACTCTACTCGACTCTACTCTGCCTTACCCTGCTGTACCTTATTCTACTCGGCTCCACTTTGCTCTTACTCTACTCTACTCTGTCCCTTTCCTACCCTACTCTACTCTACCGTACCGTACCCGAACATACTCTACAATCCGCCACCGTGCCTCTGGGCACGGAGGGGGCGCGTCCTCAGGTCCTGGGCCATGTCCTCTAAGCCTCAACCCTCATTCCTGAGGAGTCTTCAAAGGGCGTGGCGCGTGCCCCCCAGGGTTTGGCGCGTGCCCCCCTGGGCTCGGAGAAGTGCTGTCGCATGAACGAACTATTCCGGCCCAAAAAGGCCCCAGGACGTGCCAAGAGAGCCGCAAGAGGCTCCTGGACACGGTCCAAGAGGGCCTCGAGTCGCCCCAAGAAGCCCAAAATCATTGATTCACCATCGGATTTGAAGGATTTGGGCGTTCTCGCCTTTTCGGCTTCCCGAGGCTCCCAGACGGCCCAAGAGGCCCCCAAAACCACCCCAAGACGGCCCAATAGGCCTCCAAGGGGGCACCACAAGGCCCAAGCCTAAAACTCAAAGGGACCCAAGACCGCCACCAGAGGGGCCCAAGGGCGGGAACGCGAACCGAAAATCCAAGCCTTCCGTCCCAAGAGGCCCCCAGGAGGCCCCATGAGGCGCAAAAGAGGCCCCAAAAAGCTCCGAACGGGCCCCCAAGCGGCGCCCAACGGTGGCGGCGGCGGTGGCGGCGGCGGCGGCGGGGGCGGCGTCGGCGGCGGCGGCGGCGGCGGTGGCGGCGGCGATTCAGCAACGGTGGCGGTAGCGGCTGCGCCGGCAGCGGCGGCGGCGACGGCGATTCGGCAGCGGCGGCGGCGGCGGCGGCGGCGGCGGCGGGCGGCGCGGCGGCGGCGGCATCCAAGAGGCCACCGCGAGGCCCCCCGCGAGATTCCAACGCACATCCCTCAGGCTTTAGACCCGCAGTCCACGCACGGTGGCAGGATGGGCCGCAGGCCATTAAGTGTTTTATATTGCCGCTGCTGTACTCAACTCCTACCCTACCCTATCCCGCTCTGTTTAGTATGGTTCTGCTAGAGTCGATCCATCTATTTTGCCCTATTCGACCCGATTCGCCCTACTCTGCTCTGACTCTGACCCTCTTCTACTCTACCCTACCGTACCGAAAATACTCTTCACGATTATACGTTACTGTACTTCCCTCCACTCTACTCCCAATCCCACCAGCCCTTGTGGCGTAGGCGGTCTATTGTTACCCCTCCTAATTCCCCTTCGGGGGGGTTATCACTGTTCCCTATTGGTATACACCCCCTCCCCCAGGCGACTGGGTGCCAACCAGGGTCAATGCGGGCACCCCCCACCATCCCTTGTCAACAACCAATACAAAACACTCTCTGCCTCCAAATTCGGAGCATGCGCAACGAACCCGATGCGGCCTCCCCCCACCATCCCTGTCAAAAAACAATACAGAGTACACTTGGCGGCGGCGGCGGCGGCTGCGGCGGGGGCAGCGGTTGCGGCGGCTGCGGCGGTGGCGGCGGCGGCGGCGGCGGGGGCGGCGGCGGCGGCGGCAGCGGTGGCGGCAGCGGCTGCCACGACAGCGGCTGCGGCTGCGGCGATTCGACAGCAGGGGCGGCGGCGGCGGCGGCGGCGGCGGCGGCGGCGGCGGCGAGCGGCGCGGCGGCGGCGGCGGCGGACAGCGGCGGCGGCGGACAGCGGCGGCGGCGGACAGCGGCGGCGGCGGATTAGCCCCCAGAAGCTGCCCACCCAAAGCCGACAGCTGAATATGCTGCGGCTCG